GAGGCCCGGACATCTTCTGGACAGAGTCAGGGGAGAGAGGAGAGTCCTACACATAATGCATACCTGTTGAGAGGAGGAGGAGGAGGAGGAGGAGGAGGAGGAGGAGGAGGAGCAGGAGCAGGAGCAGGAGCAGGAGCAGGAGCAGGAGCATGACCAGGACCAGGACCAGGACCAGGAGCAGTAGTAGGAGCAGGAGTTGGAGGAGCAGGAGCAGGAGCCAGAGCAGGAGGAGCAGGGACTGGAGGAGGAGGAGGAGGAGGAGGAGGAGGAGGAGGAGGAGCTGCAGGAGCAGGAGCAGGAGCAGGAGCAGTAGCAGGAGCAGGAGCAGGAGCAGGAGTTGGAGGAGCAGGAGCAGGAGCTGGAGCAGGGGGAGCAGGAACTGGAGGAGGAGGAGGAGGAGGGAGCAGGAGGAGGAGCAGGAGGGCGGGGAGGAGGGGGATCTGCCTCACCCTTTTCCGACGACTGCGCGCGGCGCTGCAGGGCGAAAGCTCATACTGACAAGGGCCCGCCCGGCGGATGGTCACCCAGCACGTTCCTCTACTCGCAGATTGCCTACTCGCAAACGTCCGAAAAGCGCATGCCTGCATCGATTAATCTACAGTGCATCCCCCGCGGCGGACCCAGGCCATTCGCGAGTAGTTGAGTTGCGAGTCGTGGAACGCGCCGGTCCAGATGGGGGGGGCGCGGTTTTGGAGGAGGGGGGCGGCGGGGTTCGTGCGGCCTCTTCTCCAAGGTCGCGTTTTTTTTCTGTGCGGCGCGGGCCTCTCTGGGGGCGCCCTCGGGCCTCCAGAGACCAGGACACAGACTAACCGTAAGTCGGGCCTGTCCCTCCACAGAAGAAATATTCAAAAATAATTTAGCAAATCATATGGGGACGATATATATATATATATATATATATATATTGGATTTTTGAGTTTTTGTGTTACTAGTTTCTAGCGTCCACAATCCGCCTGTGGGAGGGCATGCCCGACTTAAGACTAACCAGGACATCGGCGAGCCGGGGAAACGACACCCGTTCCTGCAAAGTCAGGTTTCAGGCCGCCCGTGCAGTTTTTTGTTTCTGCTGCACTGTGCATGGTTCGGGTCCCTGGTGCGGGCCTAATATCCTTGTGCGGGCCTACATGGGGGGGGGTGCGCAGGCTTTCAGGGCCCGTGCCTGGGTTCCTTCCGGGAGTGTTGCAGAGCAGTTTTTTTCTCGTGCCGCACCCTGGAACACATTGTTTCGAGGGATGTTGTGTGTCCAGCGTGTCCGGGCTCACACCGGGGCCCTGACGCCCGGCGGCGCCTTCCGCGGGGCGCGCCCTTTTCGTCCTGCGTGGCCCAGGCCCGCTCGCAGGGCTGCTGCATGCTGCCGACACCTGCGGCGGGCGAAGCGTTGGACGTGAGAAGGGAGAGAAGGCCGTCTCGGAAGGCTCGGAAGTCCCTCTGGGCCTTCTGCTGAGAAGGCTCGTCCCAGACCCCTTCGAGTCATGACAAAAATCGCGACGGGAGTTTCTTTGCTATTCTCGGCCTTTGGGGGCCCGCACCGGCCCTCGGGACCGTCAAAAAACAACTCCAGACGAGACACCGGTCTTGGGGACTGGGTCGAGACCTCTGGGGGTCGCGTCATGAATTATCCCGGCAAAGCAACCTAACAGCCATGTGTAGGACCTGGCCGGGGCAGCCGGCCGCCCTCCCCTCCTGCTCGTCCTCCTCCTCCTCCTCCTCCTGCTCGTCCTCGTGCTCCTCCTGCTCGTCCTCTTTCTCCTGCTCCTCCTCCTCCTCCTCCTCATCCTCCTCCTCCTCCTCCTCATTTTTCTCCTGCTCCTCCTCCTCCTCCTCCTCCTCCTCTTCCTCCTGCTCGTCCTCGTTCTCGTCCTCCTCGTCTTGCTCGTCCTCCTCCTCCTGGTGCTCTCTCCTCCTCCTCCTCCTCCTCCTCCTCCTCCTCCTCCTCCTCCTCCTCCTCCTCCTCCTCCTGGTGGTCCTCGTTCTCCTCCTCCTGGTGCTCTCCCCCCCCTCCTCCTCCTCGTCCTCCTCCTCCTCCTCCTCCTCGTCCTCCTCCTCCTCTTCCTCCTCCTCCTCCTCCTCCTCCTCCTCCTCCTCCTCCTGGTAGTCCTCCCCCTCCCCTCCTCCTCCTCCTCCTCCTCCTCTTCCTGGTCGTCCTCGTTCTCGTCCTCCTCGTCTTGCTCGTCCTCCTCCTCCTGGTGCTCTCTCCTCCTCGTCCTCCTCCTCCTCCTCCTCCTCCTCCTCCTCCTCTTCCTCCTGGTGGTCCTCGTTCTCCTCCTCCTGGTGCTCTCCCCCCCCCTCCTCCTCGTCCTCCTCCTCCCTCCTTCTCCTCCTCCACCTCCTCCTCCTCCTCCTCCTCCTCCTCCTCCTCCTCTTCATCCTACCTCCTCCATCCCTCCTCCTCCTCCTCCTCCTCCTCATCCTCCTCATCCTCCTCCTCCTGTGCTCTCTCCTCCTCCTCACTCCTCCTCCCGCCTCCTCCTGTGGTCCTCGTCATCCTTCTCCTGTGGCTCTCCCCCCAGCTGTGGCTCTCCCCCCCCTCGCTCCTCTCGTCGTCCTCCTCCTCCTTCCTCCTCCTCCTCGTCCTCCTCCTCCTCCTCCTGCTCGTCCTCCTCCTCCTCCTGCTCGTCCTTCTTCTCCTGCTCCTCCTGCTCATCGTCCTGCTCCTGCTCGTCCTCGTCCTCCTGGTCTTGCTCGTCCTCCTCCTCGTCGTGCTCTTGCCCCTGCTGAAAGTGTGGCCAGGAATGGGAGTTCTGGGAAGTCGAAGAGCACGAAGTTGCCTACAGTTGGCTACGGGCATCCAAAATGTGGCCCGGGAATGGAGTTCTGGGAACTCGAAGACCACGAAGTGGCCTACAGTTGGCTCCGGGCATTCAAAATGTGGCCCGGGAATGGAGTTCTGGGAACTCGAAGAGCACGAAGTGGCCTACAGTTGGCTCCGGGCATTCAAAATGTGGCCCGGGAATGGAGTTCTGGGGACTCGAAGACCACGAAGTGGCCTACAGTTGGCTCCGGGCATTCAAAATGTGGCCCGGGAATGGAGTTCTGGGAAGTCGAAGAGCACGAAGTGGCCTACAGTTGGCTCCGGGCATTCAGAATGTGGCCCGGGAATGGAGTTCTGGGAAGTCGAAGAGCACGAAGTGTGTGACTGTTGGCTTAAAATGAGTTCTGCGGCACCCTGTCCGGCACCCGCCCAGACCCCCCTGTGGAGTGATCTGTGAGCTCTTTTGAGACCACTAGAAACCTATCAGTCTACGCTGTTAGGTAAAAAGTCATGACGTCGGGGGTCTGGGGTATAAGCTTTCCCCGAAGACGCGGGGCATGTCTCAGAGGGCGCGAGGGCTTCCGGAAAGCCCTGTCGCTTTCCCAACAGGTCTTCTCCTGCTCACTTCCCCCCCCCCCCTTGCTCGCCGCCGACGACAGCAGCGGAAGCAAATCGTCCGTCACAACGTGTGCAGGACGCTCGAGTATGAGGGAGGGGGTGCAGGTGCGCAGGTCCTTTTGCCCTCTCGAGGCCCTTCTGGCTGCGTGGGCGTGAGGCACAAGGGCAACGCAAGCGGCATCCGCGTCTTCGAGACCGATGGCCACGTGGGCCTGCCTCGGAAATGGCAGGCGTGCGCCGACTCCTCCATCTGCTCCTCCCATATGTCCTTAAGTCGGGACTGTCCCTCAAAACTAGTCAAACAATAGTCTGGGGACGAGTTTGTGAACCAGTTCTGAGCATCTTCGAGTATTTTTTGGGTATTTTTTATTTGTCGTCGAACATCGGCCTGGAGTGGGACAGACCCGACCTGAATATATCCTCCCCCTGCTCATCCCTGCAGACGGGTGGTCACGCAGGCCTGCGGGCGGGTCCTGCTCTTCTCCTGCCGTCACCGCCTCTGTCGGCCCTGCCCGCTCCCGACCCTCCAGCCTCTCTTTCCCGTCAGGTCGGCGGCGAGCCTTGGGGGGCGGAAAGGAGGAGAAGGAGGAGGAGGAGGAGGAGGAGGAGGAGGAGGAGGAGGGAGCAGGGAGGAGGGAGAAAGGAGGAAGGAGGAGGGAGGAGGGAGGAGGGAGGGGGAGGGGGAGAGGAGAGAGGGAGGGAGGGAGGGAGGGGAGGGAGGGAGGGAGGGAGGGAGGGAGGGAGGAGGGAGGAGGAGGAGGAGGAGGAGGGAGGAGGAGGAGGAGGAGGAGGAGGGAGGAGGAGGAGTAGGAGGAGGAGGGAGGAGGAGGAGGAGGAGGAGGAGGAGGAGGAGGGGAGGAGGAGGAGGAGGAGGAGGAGGAGGAGGAGGAGGAGGGGAGGAGGAGGAGGAGGAGGAGGAGGAGGAGGAGGAGGAGGAGGAGGAGGAGCCTTTCTAGAAGGATCGGAAGCCCTCCGGCTTTTTCAGACGTTTTCTGAGCCCTCCCCGAAAGCACAAACAAACATGATATCCCCGCCGCCGTCAGAGAAGGCCTTCTCCTTCTCACTTCCCCCCCCCGTTCGACGCTGGTCAGATGCAGGCTTCCCAGGCAATCAAGACACCAGCTTGTGCACGGAAGCTTTTGTCTGGACCCAGGACTGACACCACGATTCGGGGTGTGAGGCCGACCCCAGAGAAGGGATTCGAGAGTCCTTGGCTCGCGCCGCCCCGAAGACGTGGCGTCTGACGAGAGGATCTGCCTTCTGGTCCTGAACGGCCATTTTCTACCACCTTTACCAAACATAGGACGGGGGGGTCCGCCTCCTGCTCCTCCTCCTCCTCCTCCGCCTCCTCCTCCTTCGCCTCCTCTCCTCCTCCTCTCCTCCTCCTGCTGAAGGGAGGATTGGGAGGTCCTCCTCCTCCTCCTCCTCCTCGAGCCTCCTCCTCCTCCTCCTCCTCCTCCTCCTCCTCCTCCTCTTCGGTCCTCCTCCTCCGCCTCCTCCTCCTCTCCTGCCTGCAGTAGCGGTTCTGGAAAATCGGGCCATCAGCTCCTGCTCCCCCTCCGCTCCGCCCTCGCAGTCGTTCTCCGCTTGGCAACGCCAGGCGCACATCCAGACCATCACGGGCGGAGGCATGCACCCGCCCAGCAACATGAGGCGGAAGACGATGCGAGAGAAGGAGAAGCTGGACATGTGCGAGCAGAAGGACGATCGGGGCCCAAGGGGATATGCCCACGGGGGTCAGCCAGGGCGCCGGATCTTGCAGGATCCTGTAGAGCCAGGGCTGAATTGACATGGGTCAGCGCGCAGGATCCTGAAACATCCTGCAGGATCCTGCAGGATCCTGACCTACTCCAAGTCCCTTATTAATCGTCCCCCCTATCCAGTTTTTTAAGGCGCCTTTTCTGTAACTGGGGGGGTCCGGTTTATTTGGGCACTTTCTTTGGATTGGAGTTCAGGGGGTCTGGTTTATTAAGGCGCCCCGTCGAAGAGGGGGGTCCAGAATATCAGGTCGCATTTGGAGGGGGGTTCGGTTTTTTAAGGGGGGTCGATGAATAAGGGACTTGGAGTACCAGGATTTGGATTGGCCCGGCCCTGTCGGCCCCCAGGAGAACGGCACCAGGAGTCACCGCTCGTGGCCCGGCACGCGCTGGGCCCCGGGCCCAGGGCCCGTCGACCCTGGATCTGCGCAGGATGGGCCTGGCAGTGCCTCGGGCGTGTCCTTCTACAGGAGGAGTATTCAGAAATAGTCAAAAAATCGTCTGGGGACGATTTTTCCCACGATGTTCGGCGATTTTCAAACATTTGTTGACTGTTGCTTTTTTTCGTTCAAAATCCGCCTGTAGAGGAGGACACGCCCGACCTGAGCCTGGCATGGACCGGTGCAGGTGTATAGCTGCCATGTGTGCGATTATGGATTCCGTTGTGAAAGCAGCCATGGTGCCTTCGCGCCGACACGCCCACCACCGCCAGAATCGCCGAACACCGCCAAGACCGCCGAACATCCGCCAAAAGGCCGCCGAAGACCGGCGGAAGACAGCCGAACTCCGCCCAGTATAACAGAGGATCCACTGTCGAACGCGTAGTATACGCCGTCCGCCTAAAGGACAAGCTGCCCAAGGTGCCGGCGGACAAGAAACTCGTGATCCCGACGAGGTTCATCATCTGCTGCGTCGACGTCGCGTCGTGCCCAGTGGACAGGGCAATGATCGAAGACCAGGCGCCCTTGATGAGCTAGGGGGGGAGGACGAGGAAGAAGAGGAGGAGCCTGACAGTCAAAACGATGAGAGAAAAGCTGCTTTGGATTCAGGTGGGGCTCTGGTTTTCTGGCCGTCCCTCAGATTTGGGTCGGGGAACCTATTCCAAGACTCGACGTGGCCACAACAGCCCCCTCGTTACGTTCCTTATCCAGCGTTCTTGTCGGTAGCACGATGGCTGTCCTTCCGACGCCGTGATCTGTCATCACGACCTGAGCCCCTGGAGTTCTCGACCCTATCCCTGATTGTCTGACTGCGTCGGGGCCCGGGGTCGGAAACTGATATGAAGACGCTGCCCTTGCAGGGCATATTTCTGAAATCTCGGCGGGGGCTCAGCACGTGAAGCATTACCTGCAGCCGACTGGATTCCCACCGTGGATTGGAGTCGCAGGGGTAGGCTCGCAGGCGGTTGCAGACGAGAGCGGTCTCGGGGACGCCCCACTTGCGAAAAGAAGGCGCGTCGCATTTTGCTTGCGATCGCAAGCGCGGAAGGCTCTGGGGACGCCCATGTCGCGAAAAGGGGGCTCTTCGGAGTTTCTGTTCGCGTCGCCTGGATGTTTTTTGGATGAGAAGGAGGAGGAGGAGGAGGAGGAGGAGGAGGAGGAGGAGGAGGAGGAGGAGGAGGAGGAGGAGGGGGGAGGAGGGAGGATGAGGGAGGAGAGGAGGAGGAGGAGGAGGGAGGCGGAGGAAGAGGAGGAGGGGAGGGAGGAAGAGGAGGAGGAGGAGGGGAGGAGGAGGAGGAGGAGGAGGAGGAGGAGGGGAGCAGGAGGAGGATGATGAGGAGGAGGAGGTGGAGGAGGAGGAGGAGGAGGAGAAGGAGGAGGAGGAGGAGGAGGAGGAGGAGGAGGAGGATGAGGATGAGGAGGAGGAGGAGGAGAAGGAGCCAGGTGTCCTGGATGAACACAGGCTACTCTGGACAGTCGCCCGTGCGCCTGGAGAGCTTCGACAGGGCCGTGGAGCCTCCGCACGTGGACACGCAGCTGCAGTTCGAGCTGGTGAACCTGACGCTGGTCGGGGATGCAGCCTGCGCCAGGCAGCGGAGTTGTTTTTTTGTTACTCGGCGAGTGGGGCCACATGCCAAGCCAATCACGAGGGCAACATGTGTATAGTGTATGGCAACCCGTCGCAAGACTGGCTCTCTTGCAATCCTATCCCCGAGCGGCGATGCAGGTATTTGCGCACACGTGAAGCTACTACGCTGGTGCGCGGCGCGCGGGGGCTGCCTGCAGGTAAGGTGAGTATTACGGAGGATGGAGTAGGAGGAGCGCGCGAGCGAACGAGCGAGCGGAAGCCGAGGGGCAGCAGGATCCAGAGGGGTCGGGAGGCACACAAGCGCCCCAGGCCCAGCCCCCAGCCCCGGTACAAGAAACGATTGCCATGTACAGGACCGGAAGGGTCCCCCGAAGTTGCGAAGTGACCCTCGGGGGAGCTTTCAATTACACGAATGGGGAGGTCGTGGGCCTGGGCCTCCTCCTCCAGCCTCTGCTGCCTCTCCGCCTCCTCGGCCCCACCCGCCTGCTCTTCCGACGTGCCGGGCACGAAGAACGGTGCTGGTTGCGTCCTGGAAAAAGAAAACGGTGCGGGGTCTCAACTTGGGCCAGGGCAAACAGCTTACGGCAGCCGCCAGTGCGGAAGTGGAAGTGCTGGAAGATGCGGAACAGAGACTGTGGCCTTTGAGGGCATATAGACCGGGGGTGGACAGAGCCCCCACCCTGACACGTCGATTAGTGAATTGTCCGTTTTCGGTTCTCGAGGGGGCGCCGCGGTCGATCCTTTCCAGGCTTGCTCCCGCCAGGATTGGGCCCGAGGTCGTTTTCACGAAGCCACGTTTTACTAAAGGGGGCTCTGTCCATCCCCGAAAAGAGTAACTGAGCGAGCTGCCGCCGGGAGGGAGAGCACAGCGAACCAGGAGTGCCCTGCCCTCCTCCTCCCTCCTGTCTTTCGCGGCCGCCCCCCCCTGCCTGTCCTTGCTCCTGCACCTGGACGGTCTTCATGCCGAGCGCCCCCCGATGCTCGAGAGCGCGTGGGGAGTGCCTCTGCCGCACCGCGGCGTCGAGAAGCTGCCCGCGCAGGCAGATGTTCACGGACAATCCGCTCGCCTTCAAGTACAACCAGGACGGGCTGGGGATGCTGACCTACATCGTCGCCACCGACGACCAGTCGGGCATTCTAGGTGAGGCGGGGCTCGTCCTCAATAGCTCAAGGTTTGTCTTCTATCCTCCTCCTCCTCCTCCTCCTCCTCCTCCGCTTTCTCCTCCGATTTCTCGCTCTAGGTATGGCGGAGTTCCCAACCTCGGTGCCAGAGTCGAGCGATGTCTTGTCCGTCCTGATCAACATGAACGCCTTGCGGGGCATCTCCAAAAAAGTCCAGCAGGTGGATATGAGCTACGACGAGGATTCACCGCCCAGAAAAGTCTAGAGGGCGGGAGGGGGGGAAGTGAAGGAGGAGGTGCAAACGGAAGAGAAGGAGGACAGGGAGAGAGTGGCGACGAAGGGGGCAACACGAGGGATAGCGAGAAAGAAACAGAGGGAAGAGAGAGAGAGAGAGAGAGTGGAGAGAGCGGGAGACAGCAACCCCATCCCGCTTGGGCGCCGACGGCTCTTCAGGGACAGCTACGGTGCGCAGCTCCTCCGTTTGGCACAAGTAGACTTGTACACCATGTTCGTCCCTCGCGGACTCTCGGCGCTTCTGGGGCGCGGTGGGGTCAGTGGAGTGGTGAGATCCTCCTGCGGGCGAGGGCGACACCTGCATTCACGAGGGCGGGCATTCGCTGGGACTCTACCACACCTTCGAGGGCGGCTGCATGGACGACGACAAGGTCGGCGACACGAACCCGGAGCAGTTCCCGAGCTTCTCCTGCGCCGATGCCCGCTCGTGCGACGGCAGCCCGGACCCTGTCCACAACTTCATGGACTACGCGCCCGACTCCTGCATGGTCGGCTTCACGGAGCAGCAGAAGCGGCGCCTGTGGTGCTCCATCGAGCACCACCGGCCCGAGATGTACCAGCGTGCTCTGAGGCCCATCTGAGAGCAGCAAGAGGGCGCCCTCGAGGGCGCGAAGTTATATGCGCGTGTCGCAGTGCTACTTCGATACCTCCTCCTCCTCCTCTTCTCCCCTAGGGGGTGCCGCGAGAGCGCGAATTGATTCGCGCGTCGCGCAGCGCGAAGCGCGGAGTTCGGCGCCCTTGTGAGAGCAGGCCATGACGGCGGCAAAGCCGCGCGAATATTTCAAATCGCTTTTCAACCGACCAGCCACGGCCGGCCCGAGCGTGGACCTTCCCGCTCCAATATGATATTTTTGTCTGCGCCATTTTCCCGCACACTCCTCCCCTGCCCCGCCTTTCTCTCCCAGCCTGCCTCTGACCTGCCTGCCTGCCTGCCCCCTCAGTCTGCCTGCCTGCCTGCCTGTCTGTCTGTCTGTCTGTCTGTCTGTCGCTCATATCTTTTGCATCTCTCCTGCCTGTGTCTCTGTCTCCCTCTCGGTCTCTCTCTCTCTCTCTCTCTCTCTCCCTCTCTCCCTCTCTCTCTCTCTCTCGGAGGAGGAGGAGGAGGAGGAGGAGGAAGAGGAGGAGGAGGAGGAGGAGGAAGAGGAGGAGTCCAGCATGGCCTCGAGGTCGGGGCACGGTGCTGCGCCCTTTTGCGCGCCGCCGCTTGCTCTCCGAGAAGAAAGGTCGGGCCCCGGACCTCTGTCCCGGGCCCGCCCGGAAACCGTGGCCTCGAGGTGGATCCGGCCGTGGCGACGAGGGCGGCCCAGGAATCAAGGCTTCAGTCGGGCCTGTCCCTCTACAGGAGGAATATTCAAGAATATGAAAAAAATAATCAGGGGACTATCATTTTAACATTTTCGATGATTTGGGGAATATGTGTTGAACATGTGTCATTCTTCGCCCAAAATCCGCCTGCAGGGGGACAGGCCCGACCTAAATCAAGGGAGGAAAATCACCCGGACCGGACAGTTGGCGTTGACTAAACGCGGCTTTGGGCGTTTACAGCCCTGCCCTGCTCGTCGCGGCAATGCGAGCTGTGCCGCTGGGACCTCCCGCAAAGCTCCCCAGATCTCGAACCCTACGCTTATTCCGGGCCTGTCCCTCTACAGGAGGGATATTCAAAAACAGTCCAACAATAGTCGGGGGACTATCTTTGATCATTGTTGAGCATTTCGGGCGTATTTTTTCAGCATTTGTTTTTTCATTTCGTCCAAAATCCGCCTGTAGGGGGACAGGCCCGACCTAACCCTACTCCGAGTTTCTGAATATGCGTCGGGGGGTCGTCACCCCCGCCGACAGCTCCACATCGACCCCCGTCGCGGGGAGCCACCGCGCGCCGAGGGCGCTCCGATCCCCGTCGCGGCGCGACGACGAGGCGAGGTTGACCCCCGTCGGGGGGGTACCCGCCCACACTTCTTAAGAAACCCGGAGTACTGAGCGACGCAAAGAATTGGGCCGTCTTCACTAACAGTGGCGCGAAAGCTGCCGGCGTGAGGTCGCGTGTGAGCGCCCTCGTCTCGGATGTGGGCCGCGCTGGCTGCCCGCGCAAGCCACCGCGCAAGGTCTGATGTGCCATCTCGTGTAAGACCAGCTTTCTTCCTCGTCCCACTGTACTTCAGAGCTCCGGCGCGGTCCCGCACGTGCCGCGGTTGCCCTCTGCGCATCCTGGTGCCGCTGTGCGTCAGCGCGCCGGTCCTGCATGTGGCGCGCGACATGGGGCGCGCGCGCGCGGGCTCGAGGCCCCTCTGGCTGGGCGGTCGCGGGCCGAGGGCGGCCTCCCCGAGAGCCGCTAGTGCTCTTCGCGGGGGCGCCGCCGCTGTACCAGAAGCGCCTGCTCGGTACGACCGAAGCTCGAGCAGTGGCGAAGCGTCCCGTCTTGTCTGTAGGCCCACCAAGGAATGTTCTAAGAGCCTTTCGTGGTCTGCACGAACTGTTCTTAGAACATTTCTGGCTGGGGCTGTCTTGTTTTAACGCATTGGCCTTTCACGACCGAAGAGCATCGCTGTTGTGCTTCGATCGCTTTGTGGGGTGTCAGAGCACGTCGTGGTAGGCCTATGGGAGTGCTGGGACGGTCGGCCCCTGCTTAAGAAGCGGGTGCGGAAAGAGTAGGGACGAAGACCAACAGCAGTTCCTCCTCCTCCTCCTCCTCCTCCTCCTCCTCCTCCTCCTCCTCCTCCTCCTCCTCCCCCCCTCCTTCCTCCACAACTTGAAACAACTACTCCAGCTAGGCCTGCCCATTCTGAAAACCGGACTCGCTGTCTTTGTGGTTGCGGGCGTCTTCCACATGATCACAAGCTCGTCTTACCAACAGCGGCCGCTGTCGGTGTTGGACAGGGCTCGTTCTCCACCACCACCACCATAAGCTGGAGGGGGAGGGGGTCCTCCTCCTCCTCCTCCTCCTCCTCCTCCTCCTCCTCCTCGTCCTCCTCCTTCCCCCTCAAACTTCTGGTGGTGGTGGTGGAAAACAGGCCCATCATGTTGGGCACCGTTCCCACTTCTTCGGCACCCGCTGTGGGCGTGTCACTTTAAGAGCCCTCTCGATGCCGAGGCGCCGGCAGGGTCGCGCCGCGTCATCCTGGCCGCGACCCCAGCGCGGGTCGAGCGACCTGCGCTGTCGCGAGGCCGCGATCGCTGAGGGCTGCCCGATCCACGAGGTGTCGGAAGCCAACGCCTTCGATGCTCGTTTCGAGGGACCTCCCCGGGGGCCCACCTGACGGATCTGGTCGACTCAAGCTCGACTCAGGTTTGGCTCAGATTCGACTCAGATTCCACGCAGGTCCGACGCAGGTTCGACATAGGTCCGACGCAGGTTCGACGCAGGTTCGACGCAGTTTCGACACGAGTTGAGCGAGTGGCTCCAGGAAGGTCCCCAGAACGAGCATCTAAAACGCCCACGCAGTCGCGACGTGAACTTGTAGTCTCGGTGTCGGGCATTCGGCCTGTGCGCAGTGGTACCTTTATTGCCTGGGGTGACCGTGCGGTGCTGGGCCGAAGAGGAACGTCCGTGGGCGTCGCCCCGGGACCTCCGAAAGGGGCCTGGGTGGGCTGCTCGTGGAGGCCGCGCCCCTCGAAAGCAGCGCACCCGAGGTCACCCTTGGCAAAAAGGTCATCCCTTCGTGGAGCCGAAGTCTGCGGAGGGCGCCCGCTGTACCTCCACACCGATCCCGGCCAGGCCGATCCTTGGCCCGGGATCGGTGTAGATGCCCGGAGCTTTGTGTTGCGCCGGCGGCCGCTGCCGCGGCGAGCGGAAAAAGCTGCGATTGCGAGTGCAGTCATGCGTTCGACATGGCGCCGGCTCTGGGGTCAAGTCGGGGTTGTCCCTCTACACGAGGGATATTGTAAAACAGTCCAACAATAGTCTGGAGACGATATTCTTTTGCTATGTCTGGTTGTCTTTGAGCACCTTTGGGGTAATTTTTACGTTTCGTCCAAAATTCGCCTGCAGGAGGCCACGCCCGACTTAACTTTGGGGGCCGCCTCGGCGTGGAGTGGGGAGACATCGGCATCCCCCCAACATACTTATACTATGTGTTCGTCGCCCCCCCAGGGGCGACGCGCGCACCGAGAAATCTTGTAGTATATGCGTCGCGGCGGGCGCTTCCTGGCCACACCGCTCGGGAAACGATATACTACAAGATGGGTATACTATATGTTCGGGTCGGACGCGCGCCTCCAAGGCGGACATATAGTATTAGTATGTCTCTGTGCGTCCCAAGACAGGGGTCTCTGTCCCGCAGGCGGCGCGTCTGGCCCTCCTCGCTACCCTCGGGTGCCCGACCTCCGTCGGAGTGTTGCCCCTCGACCCGTGGGACCCCCGAGGGCTCTCGGCGGGGCCAGTTGTGCTGTTCCATCCCGGGTCGTGATGGGCCTGCTTTCCACCACCACCACCACAAATTGGAGGGGGGAAGGAGGTGGAGAAGGAGGAGGAGGAGGAGGAGGAGGAGGAGGAGGAGGAGGAGGAGGAGGAGAATGAGGAGGAGGAGGAGGAGGAGGAGGAGGAGGAGGAGGCGGAGGGGGAGGAGGACCCCCTCCCCCTCCTACTTGTGGTGGTGGTGGTGGTGGTGGAAAACGGGCCCATCAGGTCGGCTTTTGTTGGCACCGGGGCCCAGGAGCCACCCGGCGATGCCGAAGTGGACGAGCGGCGCTCGGGCGGGAAGACGCCTTCTGCCCGAGGTAAGGGGCGCCTCCCTCCTGGGCAGCGCGATCAAGTGTTCAGGCGGGCATGTCCCTCTGCAGGAGGGACATTCAAAAATAGTCAGAACAGAATATGGGGACGATCTTCGTGTTGCATGTTTGTTGGATTAGTTTTTGATTTTCTTGGTCTGTCTTCCAAAATCCGTCTCTGGGGAGACCTGCCCGAGCTACCTCGAGGGGCCCAGCGAGCAGCGAGCTCTTCGGTCCGTTCCCCAGAGGCGGCAGCGGCTCCCCCAAAGGGCCTCTGGAGCTCGCCTGCCCGCAGGAGGGGTAATCTGGCGCGCCGCTGAGCCCGCAGCCGCGGGCAGGAGTGTGTGGATGGGGCGCGGGGTGGGTCGCGGGTGGGTCGCGGGGTGGGTCGCGGGGTGGTTCGCGGGGTGGGGCGCGGGTTGGGGCGCGGGGTGGGCCGCGGGTGGGCCGCGGGTGCCAGGCGGTCGCAGACATGGATCAACGGGGGCGCGGCGTGCCTCAGCGACGGGTCCCGCTTCCATGGCAAATCGCGGATTTCCGCCGCCGAACGAGGCGGCACCGGACGCACTTTGGGGAGGGCGCCAAATCCATGGATCGCTAATCCATGTTTGCGCGCCCCCGGGGTTGGGTTGCGGGGCGGTTCGCGGGGTGGGTCGCGGGGTGGGTCGCGGGTGGGCGTGTAACAGGGCGTCGCAGGCGACGACGACGACGACGACGACAACAATCAGTTTAAGACTGTTCGCACCTACCTGCTCGCGTGCCATTCAACACGTACATCAAACAAACCTCCCTCGGTCCCCGCCCTCTTCGTCTTCGATCGTACCCCCCTCGGGATATATCTTCCTTACCTGCCGCGTGTAATTGGTACAGTCCCGGA